TGAAGCAGGGCGTAGTGTGTGTATGGGGCTGGGCACCACACATCCCTAAGGAGGACCAAGGCTATCAGACTGCACACCAGGTGACCTCTGTCCAAGAGCATTCTGCATCTCTGCTGTTCAGGAAGGGAGGCAAGATGCTCTGGGCCAGAGTGCATGACAGAAAGCTTGATTTCCTAACAGCAGTGTGTATAGCTTTCATGCACTGCAGTAAAACTCACCCTGGCACTAAGTACTCATGGTGCCAGGGAAACAAGGAAAACTCAGAAACAAGTGACTGCCTTGGTGGTTTCATGAGGACCTCTGTATCTTTGCATTTCTACATGCTGGCATAATAAATCCTGAAGTGCTTTTTTTGCTCACAGCAGATGTGATTAATACAGCTGTTAGCTGATGTGTATTCTAGAGGAAACAATTGGCAATCCCTAGGTGGGTAAGCATCAGAGGACTGAAAACCCCACGATTTTTTCCGTATTTGAGAAACTGAGAGATAAAATAAAAAGTTTGTTTTCTCTTCAAATCCATAATCAGACACAGTGTAAAGACAGTCACTTCTGCAATAACTATTTTGGAGAGTGTTAAAGTAAAAATGCTCTGATGCGTCTAGAGCCAGAGCCCCTGCGGGGTTGGGTTGGGCGGCTCCAAGTGCAAGGTGGGCACTGCGATAGCGCATCTCATCTGCTGCCCTCAATCCCTCCTGCCCACCTAGCATGGGGTGCAAGGGATGTCCAGGCGTGCAGTGCCTCTTTTCCACTTAGCAGCTCTGCTGCAAGGTGAGAAGGGGGCCCACAGGGATGCTCAGGAGTGTGAGCCCTGTAAACTTCACACTGTAAATACACCTTTCCTGCTCTTGACCCCCCAGGAAATCCTGAGCAGGACACAAATATCTTCAATGCCTTTACCAGGTTTCGCTTCTGCTCCTCCCAGCATAATCACTTCCACTGATTTCTACTTGTTTGCAGGTCTTGTTTGCAGCTGGAAGCTCAAACCACCATTTATTTTCTGTATGGGTTCCTAATCTGGAAATGGATTTAATTTGCTTTACAAAATTACAAGCAAATTAAGCTAAACACATTGTGTTATGTCCGGATACACTGTGGAGCTTTCATGGAAGAGGAGAAAAAAACGTTTGTTACTGCTGCGAGTTTCTTCTTTCACAGAATCACAGAATCCCAGAACGTTAGGGATGGGAAGGGACCTCCAAAGCTCATCCAGTCCAATCCCCCTGCCGGAGCAGGAACACCCAGATGAGGTTACACAGGAAGGCGTCCAGGCGGGTTTTGAATGTCAGTAGAGAAGTAGACTCCACAACCTCTCTGGGCAGCCTGGGCCAGGGCTCTGTCACCCTCACTGAGAAGAAGTTTCTTCTCCAATTGAAGTGGAACCTCCTGTGTTCCAGTTTGTGTCCGTTTTTTCCTTGGTATCAATAATTTCACGTTCTCAAAAAATATAAAACATCTCTACAAATGGTAGAGATTTTCCTTGGGGCCAGGAGCCAGGTAGCTGGAGCTGCATCTGTCTCACATCTTTCATCCCCTCAGCCCTTAAAGAATAACCTTGCTCTGTTCTTTTGCAGTTTCTCTCCTTGCTTGTAGACACACTTTGATTATCTGCAATATTGCATTCGACAGTACTACTAAATAGTTCTGAAAATTTTCCTTTCGACAACCGCTTCTTCCCTTTCAAATGGATTTTTCTTTTTCCCTAGTTGTAAATCAGCTTTACAGCCTTGTATGCTTAGGGAGAGTAAATACCCCATTGCTCCAAAGGAGACAAGTATTTTGCATTTCCATTTCCTGACCCATCAGGGAGAATTTTGTGCAAAACGCAGGAGAAATGTCAAAGTGATAAAATGGCATTGTTTTTGGTTCATTCTCTGGTTACAACAGCTGATGTTGTGGAAAACATCCAGCACTATCCAGACTTTGTGGAGATTTAATTCAAAGAGACAAATTACTTCACAGGTACCGCTACATTTCAGTGACAATTTTACTGACTGACAAATACTGCATTACCTGAGGTTTTTTACAGAATTTCTTAGTTTAAGATTTAAACCTGAAATGTATTTCTTTGCCAGGAAAGTTTGCAGCCTGAGTGTGAGACAGACTCCCCATCTGCATTTATAGTCACAAACATTTGCTTCTGTTTCCTTTGGCCAAACCACATTTACTCTGAGACAGGGGAAAGGCTGCTCCCCTTCAAAAAGCCTGTTTAACACAGCTGATTTGCAAGATTATTTTAGCTGAGAACAATTGAAAATCCTAACAGCTTAACTGGCTGTGATAATTAGCAGTCACTAAGCCTATCTTTGGGGATATCTCAGCACGCCGTCTTATTTTAGTCCTACCACAGTAAGGACAGAAAATCACTTAAATCCTTGTCGTTCTCCTGAGCAGCTCCTTGGGATGGAGAGCATGGGGCAGAGGCTGGGCTGGGCAGGAGCAGTGATCTCTGCCCGCCTGGCTCAGAAGGCCTGTGCCCTGTTGGCAAACACAGACAGTCGATTTAACTACTCATAATGATGCAAGCAAAACTCATTGGTAGCCGGTGTGGAAACACACACTTCTACTTTGTTACAGGAAGTGGTAGTTTGATGTTTGTAACTCCTTGAAGCAGTCTTCTGGGCTCCTGCGTGCTCCCGGGCTGGTGGCTCGGTGCCGGCCGCGCCGTGATGCTGGGGAGGCTGCTGGGGAGCAGCCCTGGGCTGTGGCGGCGAGTGGCTGGGTCGGTCCCTCACCCCACCAGAGCCTTCAGCGACAAAGCAGACGGTGCTCAGGGTAAGGATTTGCAGATGGGTAGTCCGGGTGGGTAGAATGGCTTTGGTCACTGTTTCATGCTGCAGCATGGAAAGAAAGGGGATTTGCAGGAAAGGGTGAGAAAACGACCCTTGTTCTCATCTGTGGCTGCATTACTACAGTGCTGCATCTCCTGGGGTTACAAACACTGCCAGGACACGGAGCAAATTGAGAGCTCTTGATTGGCATAGCACACAGGGATAAAGGGGTTTTTGTGTGTTAAACAGTCCTCTTCCAGCAGCAATGCGAACTGACACTTCACGTCAGGGAGCTTGTTAATTAAAAATAATAAGTAAATGCTGCTCCTTCTCCTACCTAGCCGCCAGGTTTCCTGTGGAGGCCCCATGCCCATCCCCGCAGGTGCTGGTGCATGTGGCAGACACAGACTGCTCTGCTTGCCCTGGCGCTCCCTGCCAGGGCTGTGCGTGCCTGTGGCGGCAGTGCCCTGGCATACCTGGCAGGCAGCAGGCATGGGCTGTTCCCATGCAGGATAGCTTCCTGGCACAGAGATGGTTTCTCATTTTAATCTGTACCACCACCCCCTTGGTCGTGCCTTTGCAGATTCCTCACCCCACCGAGGCTGGGCTGCGTGAGGCTGCCTGGGGGTCTCCAGCATGGGACTTTGCTTTTGCATCCCTTGGAATGGAGCCTGTCCTTTTAGCAATAATTCTTACTGCTTGCTGCAGATCTGATTCGGAGACTTGCTGATATTTCAGCTGTAGCTCTTCTGGTTTCACTGGCACTCTGTAAGAGAAATAGGAGAAGCAGGAGATAATATTTACCTGGAAGTCTGGGTGCCAAGATTTACACCTGGGATTTTGAAGTCACTCAGAAGTCCTGGCAGGCCAAGGCACTCAATGTGATTTCACCATCTCAGCACAGGCGGGAAGGGATGCTCCCAGCACCCTATTCTGTAGCTGGGTCTCTTTAGCTTGGAGAAGAGGAGACTGAGGGGTGACTTTCATGTTTATAAATATGTAAAAGGTGAGTGTCAGGAGGAAGGAGCCAGGCTCTTCTCTCTAATGTCCAATGATAGGACAAGGGGCAATGGGTGCAAGCTGGAGCATAGGAGGTTCAACCTGAACATAAGGAAAAACTTGTGGAGGTTGTGGAATCTCCTTCTCTGGAGACACTCAAAACCCCCCTGGATGTGTTCCTGTGTGACCTGGTCTGGTGATCCTGCTCTGGCAGCGGGGTTGGACTGGATGATCTTTCGAGGTCCCTTCCAACTCCTAATATTCTGTGATTCTGTGTAGTGGCAGTGCTTTCCTTTCAGCCAAGCACCAGCAATCCAGCAACAGCCAGGAAGTGCAGAACACTGAGAGCGGGAGCATTTTCATGTCCATTCCTTCCTGCGTGCCCTGGTCAGCCCCAGGACACTTCTAAACACCAGCCCCACATTTGCAAGCACAGGGCACTGTAACCTAGCACCCTGAGTGCACAGACCTGGAAGTGTGAACAGTCCCAGCCAGCCCATGTACAGCCACATGTACAGGTGTGCAATGCAAAAGCCAGGATCTGAGCTAGCTGTTGCTTACCCTATTTATGCAGGGTCTCCCTGCCACTGCCCTTGTTGTGGCCTGTCATTGGGCTTGTTTTCATCAAGAGCCAGAGTCCTGCTCTCGTCGCGCTCATGATGACAGCATGTTAATGGCATCACTGTGGTAGTCTGGTGGGGTGTAATGTATCATCATTAGAGTACAGTAGTGTGGTACCCAGCCTGCATGAGAACGACTGCCAGCGTCCCACCAGGCTGTATTTTAACAGGCCTCATCTCTCCATCCGTGCTTTTAGGAGATGCTGTCAAGGAGTTATTAGTGCTGCTGGCAGTTTGCTTAACTCGCTGGCTGGACCATTTAAAATCAAGAAGCTAGCAGAGTGAAAGCATGCTGTGGGCTTGGGTGACATCAGCCCCGCATTCTTTCCCCCCTTAATCAGGAAGGTTAGAAGAGATTTTTGGTTTAAAACCTACGTAAACTAAAGGGGGGCGGGAGCGGAAATTGCAAAATGTGATAAGCTGCACATGTGACAAAGCATCTCACACCAGCTGCTGAGTCTTTTTGACATTAGAAGGCACATTTGGCTCTCACAGGATAGAAAAGTGCCATTCTAAACTTTCATTCCTTTTTCCCCTGTAATAACAGCTTTTTTCCCCTCTTCCTTTCTTTAAGCTTAGCTCATTGTTTTCTTTTATAAAATCTCTTACAGGTTACAAAGCTTTCAAAAATGACAGAAGGCCTACGAGTTTTGATAAAAAAGTGTTAGTATGGGCAGGACGCTTTAAAAAGGAGGAGGACATTCCCAAGCACATATCGTAAGTAGACTATTCTAAAATGATGCTTTTGGATGTGTATGGCTTGAGACTCAAGCCTGCATTACCCAGAATTGTGCTTATGTGCACAATACTGCTTCTTCATGCTGATGGGGTCTGCTGCTACTTGGTGTCCAAAAATAATATGAATTTTTGGAAACACGAACTTACTGTCATGCTCTGTGAAGTAAACTGGATTCACTTGTTTTAGATATCATAAGTTTCAGACTAAGCTGAAGTGTCTTCTGCAAGACAAGTGGCTTTGTAAGTCAGAAGCCACCATGGTAAAGGATCATCCACTTTGGAGTTTTTGCATGCTTTGCTAGTTTTTATTGATTAGCAATTAATGATGCTGCATAATTTTTGAAAAGAAATTGGGGCTATATGCAGCTTTGGTGACAGATATCTGCAATGAGTTCCTCACATCTGGGCTATAGTTTCATCTCCTTGTTGAGGCATTTTGTTAAAGCATTGTCACTCAGTTTTGGAGACTGGATGCTTCCTGACTTTTGACATCCTGGGGGCTCCTCCAGTCAGCCTCCCCCTTGCAGATTTACATAAATCTATGGCTGGGTATGATTTCATGAATGACTCATTGCCACACTGCAGTCTTTCGCAAGCGTGAATTGTTGGATTAATGCTGTGAGTCACTCGTGGAAGGTTTTGGAGGTTTCCCAGCGATGGCTGTGGCTGTTCAGCTGCTTGGGAAGACAACTCCGGATGGTTGGCACAATTGTCCGCTCCAGCTCAGGCTCAGCCTTCCACTGCAGGCAGATGTTTGCGGGGCTATGCTGCAGCAGGACAAGGCTGCAAAGCACCACATGTAGCTGTGATGGGGACGTGGCCACAGACCCAGCCACCAGTTGCTGGACCTCTTTGCTGTGTGTGAGAACTCTCTGTTGCTCTTAGCCAAAATGTCATGCATGTGATTTTATTCCACTGAGGGTGGCATTGTCTGGCCCTGGTGACATGGCCCCAGCATCTCCTGGTGCTGTGCAGCACCCCACGCCCTGCAACACCCAAAAATGGGCCCCCCATAATTCCATTACTGCAATGGAAAGACTTTCCTGTCCATGTCATTCCTCAGGTGTTCACTCTCAAGTGCAGTAGAAGAAGGCAGGAGAGCAGGATTTGTTATTCCTATTGTTACTGATGGCTGTTGGGAGTAGCAATACCCCACCTATAAGGAAGGAAGGTTAAATCATTCCCCCACAGGCTTTTTGAATCCTTTGCTAAGCACTTTATTGGGGTTTAACCCCAGCTGGCAACTAAACATGATGCACCTGATTGCTCACTCTCTGCTGGTGGGATTAATCAGAAGAGTAAAGGTGAGAAAACTCATGAGTTAAGATAAAGACAGCTTAATAGGTAAAGCAAAAGCCACACATACAAGCAAACCTAAACAAGGAATCCATTCACTACTTCTCATCAGCTTGCAGGTGTTCAGCCATCTCCAGGTAAGCAGGGCTCCATCACACGTAACAGTTACTTGGGGAGACTAATGGGGAGACTAGTGCACTCCAAATGTCCCCCGCTTCCTTCTTCTTCCCCCAGGTTTATATTGCTGAGCATGGCCTCACATGGTCTGGAACATCCCTTTGGTCAGATGGGCTCAGCTGTCACTGCTGGGTCCCCTCCCAACTTCTCATGCACCCCCAGCCCCCTTGCTGGTGGAGTGGAGTGAGGAGCAGAAAAGGCCTTGACTGTGTGTAAGCACTGCTCAGCAATAACGAAAACATCCCTGTGTGATCAACACTGTTTCCAGCACAAATCCAAACCACGGCCCCATACCAGCTTCTGTGAAGAAAATTAACTCTATCCCAGTCAAAACCAGCACACACTTGCAGAAAGAGAAGGCTGAAACACATTGGACATTAACAGGCAGTTGCTGAAAGACTTGAGGATTTATTACTCAGCTCCCCATGATCTCATTTCACATGTGCTGCTGCAGGATGGAAACTCTGCTCTGTCCTCCACAGGTCTGAGGTCCTTGACGCAGCAAGGAACAGCGTCAGGATCAAGGTTTGCTACATCATGATTGCGCTGACCTTGCTGGGCTGCTTGGCCATGGTAATCACAGGCAAAGAAGTGAGTATTGTTTCTGGGTGAACTGCTCCACTTAATGTATGGTCTGTGTATGCTCCCTTTGTCAATAAGTGCCTAGGTGACAGATAGGCTTGAGCATAAGTCCATTAAGCAATATTTGCAGAGGATCTGTATTGCCCCATTTTCTGGTGGAGAGATTGGCAGAGGGAAGCACGATTTGATGGCTCGTGTGTTCCTTCTGACCCACTTTGCCATAAACCCTTGCTGTGCAGTGCTCTGTATCATGGTACCTCAGCAAGAGCCCAGTCCAAAGGTTGTGGAGCAGCTCAGACAATGTCAGTGGCACCTGGTCCTGGCCGTCAGGCACTCATGGTCCTGCCCACCTAGCCTGCATGCCACCACGGCCACCAAGAGCTGTGACACTGACTTTGTCCCATCCCTCTGGTGGGGAAGGAAGGTCTCCAGCATGACTTGCATGTCCCAGCACACCTGTAGACAATCTACAGTGTAATCTTCCTGCTAATCAGAGCTGCAAATGCTGAAAATTTGGTAACACAAGGTAACACATTAGCTTCTGTGACTGCAAATTATCAAAAAGTACAGTGAGGTGTCAAAGCAAGTGGTGTAAATATGGGGAAATTTAGTGGTGGGAAATGCGTGCAAGTAATTATTTTCACCATTTCTTTTTAAGGCTGCTAAAAGGGATCACACGCTGCTGAGGATGAATATAGAAAAGAAGGCCAAATGGAGGGCTAAAGAGGAGACGGATCAGGAGGCAGTTGTTGAGAAGCTACAATGATTGGGAACAGATCTATTTTCACAGCAGGAGATAAGTGATTTGCACATGTGGCACATGTACCTGTCCTCATTTAACTCTTCAGAGATTTTTCACTGAAACTCACTCAAGGCAAAGACTTCACTGCTTAAAAACTGCTCCATATGAACTGGGAAGCTCCTGTGGGAAACCCAACAGCTGCTTTCTGTGTCCTCTGATCTTTGGCACAGGGTCCTGCTTAAACACAGGAATCTCTTCTACGCTGGAAGGCATGGGAAGGATGAACGCAGGACTCTCCAGCTCAGGATCAGCTTTCTGTGGTGCTGCTGGTGCTCAGTGAGTCTGTGGGGCTGTCTCCTCACAGCTGAGAAGAATGTAGCTCTATGTCAGGGAGCATCCCATTCTGTGCAAGGCCTGTAGTGCAAACAGCCTTGGCCAAAGTGACCCAGGGCAGAGAGAAAACGAGTCTGAAATATATTTTGCAACCACAAAGAGGCCAGGTATCTCTACCCCTGAGCCTGCTGCCATCGCTGTCCTCCTTCCCTCCCCAGAGCCTTGCAGGTTGCTGTGGCTGGCGAAGAGGGGGGACATGAGCATGAAGAGGGGCTGGGAAGATGGAAGAGCATGAGCAGATTCTGATGACTGATCAAAGGGAGCTTTGGGCAAGAAGAGATGGTGATGATGGAGGGTGGTGGAGTGGGCACGTGGAGTGGTTTGGTTGCTGCAGGACAGCCTGGGGAACCCATGCCTGATGCAGGGAGCCTGGCCTGGAGGCATCTCTAGTCCTCTTGCCCCTTACTGGTTTTGCTTTTTCATCTTCTCCTTCCAGTCATTGTCACAAAAGTTCTCTAGCACTTGCTTAGTTATGATTTCAGTCAGGAGTAATTGTTAGTACATGGTTTGCTAAAACTGGATTGTTTATAATCATTCCTGTTCATTAATTCAGAATAAAACAGCTGCTCAATTACATCTAAAACAAACACATCTCTTCACAGCTTCATTTAAAGTGTCGCCAAGCTCTCTGGGGTTTTTTGTGTCAAAAATCACATCCAGTTATTGCTGATGTGTCAGTACATGAGCAAGCTGTGGGCAAGGACAGGCTGGGGCGTTGGCAGGTGGTCAGCAGTTGTTGGGCTCAGGGACTCCATCTCCTTTGCCTGCGGTCGTTGGGTAGGTCTTTCACTCTGAAAGAAGCACTTTGCTCCCTGTTGCACACCCGTTTAGGGTGAGGAGTGTGTGAGGGGGATGTTACATTGGTCACATTTTGGTGTTTGCAGTCCTTGTTTCCAGCTTACAGACCCATGCAGTACAGTTCACCAAAAGCAATGTCTGCTCCCTGTAGTATTCCTCACAAATCGCATCTCAGGGAAGTGATGATAACGGTGCAGGACAAGCAGAGAATGAACAAGTCTCTGCTGAGAAGGCACTTTTGCCTGCACAGGTAATATGGGCTCTTTCATTTTACGTGACCTGGTTTTCTTGGTACTGCAATAAATCTCAAGAATTACCTGAAGGTTAATATTCTTTTGGGGATAAACTAGAACAGCTCTGGTCAGTCTCCAAGGTTATTTTTTATTTTAAATTCTTAAATGGTTTTCACATGCCCTTTTTAAGAAGGCACATGTAACACTCAAAGGAACCTATTTTGATGTTTGTAAACAAATTCACATCCATGTTCTGAGCTCCTCTGACTTAAGCAAGAAAGGAGATGAACAGAACCATACATAAAGAACAAGCAAATTAATTGTGACTTGTTCCACTCTGCTCTGCACTTCCCTCTGCCAGGGAAAAAAGACTGCTTCAGGTGTGAGCTATTATGAAATCCTCTTAAACAGCCTGGGTCTCTCTTGCCTAGTGCATAAAGCTGCTGCATTAGACATCATCATTAAGAAAAAGGAAAGATCAATTCCTCCTCCCTGAGTCACTGATGATGGGCCACTCCTGAGCAATCAGATGACTTGGGTGCTTCTGGGCTCTCACAGAGCTATGACTGTTATGTAGGGAATAATCCTTTACCAGTCCAGCTACATGATTATGCATTTTAATATCATAATATTCCACCCAAATCGATCACAGTAATCACTGGCTTGCACACTGTGGGTGGTGTAGCACAGCCTTGGCCGGAGCCGTCCCCTGTAGTAATTGGAGGTGCTGGAGGAGGACTTTGCACTGCTGATACCTCTCCAGCACTGGGACTTATCACTGCTTGTTAAAATCGGTTTCCATCTGTGTTTTCAAAGTCCTTTGACTCTCCTCTTGAAAAGCTTCTAATTAACACAGTTTCCTGAATGCATAATTGGCTAATGCTCACCATCCTAGGGTTGTGGGGGTTTTTGATTTTCCCTCCTATCTCTATTGCTTCAGTGTCATGCCTGATCCTCCAGTCATTTAAAAAAAAAAGGTATGGGCATTGTTATTAGTTAGAAGCTATTCTTTCTTTTTAATAACATGCCCTGTATTTCCCCAGCCTGGCCCTGAGGACAATGTAAGAGGCTGGTCTCTCTTGAGGCAGGGATGGAGCTGAGAGCGTGCCGTGTTGCTGTAATTCTCAGCGAGACCAAGGGTGAGTCCTTTCAACTCTCACCTCCTTGTGTACTGTACCTTGAGGAAAGAATGCTCCCCTCCTTGCAGGATTTGTGCCATTTTAATGAACTCCTACATGGAAATGGTTAACAATGTGCTGGTGACTGGTTCCATAGAGATTTGCATTATAATAACAATTACTGGGGAAGCTTTTCCCTAGTACCTGGAGTTGATCTAATTCCGCTTCTATTAAAATCAGTGCTGCAGTTCCTCTTGGCTGTGAATTAAGGTTATCATCGACCATTTTTTGAAGTTTCAGTAATTTCCATGGAGCCAGGCTGCTGTGGGGCAGAGCTGGGTACAACAAGCCTTCTTCTGCCAGTGTGGTGAGATCAAGCTCGTATGGGAGGCTCTGTGCTGTGGGCATTCCAGTGCCTCAGAGAAAAGATGTGAGATAGGAAAGGCTGAGCTCAGGAGATCTCAGTCCCTTCCTTACTCATCTTACTTCCCTTTTTGACCTGTTCATGGGGGTTCTAATGACACTTGATCTCTTTCCATTCATCTGCTCTGTGCAGCTCTTCTCCTGGGGTGCAGCAAAGCTGACGTGATGCTGCACTTGCAAAGGACTTTTCCCTGGATGCAGGTGAAATTTTGCCCTTCAGAAAGATCTCGTTTTAAAGACTTCCCTGTTCTCTCAGCGTTTAGTCTCCCACCAAGCTGGGGAACTGCTGCTTGTTTTAAGGCTGAATGCACCCATCTTCAGTGCCCAGGCATTGGACAACATCTTCAATATGGAATATAAAACGTCCCGTCTCGACTCTTTCCTATGTGTAAGTAGTCACCTCGCAGCTATTGCTTGTAATTGGATTTCTGCTATGTTCAAAACAGCTGAGGTTTCTAACCATTGCTTGATGGGTATCACTGGCTTGCTGGCCAGTTAAGTGATTGACAGTGTAGTGAATTTATTCCTGTATTGAGCGATTTACTGCATTAGTACCCTCTTTATAAACAATCCAAATAGATTTTTTTTTGTTTGTTTTAGCATAGAATCAATAATCTAGTCCTTTTGCAGAAAGAAAGGACGTAAAAGCTTTTCAGACTTTACTGACTACCCTGGAAAATTAAAAATCACAGTGGTTATGCATCAGAAACCTTTTCTTCTCTGTCTGTGCCCAAGGCAGGAGCAGCATGGCCAGCCAGTGGCTGCAAATCTGCTTTTGTTCCTGGGACTGCCAGGGATCTGTTCAAAGGAGCTTCAAGGTTGAAGGTCCCCTCTGCATGAGATGCAACGGTGGTTTGGATCTGTGAAGAGACCTGCTCTCTCTTTCCACAGAGATCTTTCCAGCTTGGAGCAGCCTTGTGCTTTCTTCTTTGCTCAGCATCATCGCAGCAAATAAGTGCTGGGCTGCTCCTGGCCCAGTGGTATCTGAGCTCCTCATGCCCATCGTGATTTCAGAGATGGCTTAAATACCACTCTCCTGTTTGGATTTGGCACGAAGTCATTCTAGCCTAGCAGGAAAGCAAGGGCTATATTTAATAATTTGAATTAATTAATGGTTCATTCATTAATGCATTGAGGTAGCATTGAAACAGTTTTCCATGGTTAAGTATTTTGATGATCGTTAGTGCTGTATGATTTATTGCAAAATCTCTCTGACATATGATGAGCAGGTAGCTCCTGAAGGGCTCTCAAAGGAACTGACTATTTAATTTCTTTGCTCTGTGCCGGATCTGGACACAAAACTCAACACTACCTCAGTCTAGCTGGCTCCACACCTTGTCTGTGCATGGAACAACTTCCTACGTGGAAATCTAAAGCTGGGTTCTGACTCATCCTCTGCAGCACTGTGCTCCTCAGTGAAGGGACCCAAACCCTGAACTATTTGGGCAGGGACTGCTGCTTGCTGGGTATGTGAGGGCTTGCATTGAGAGGAGGTCAGTCTGGAACAGGATTTCATAAGAAAGAGTTGGGCTCACTCATGGCTTAGGTATGCTCTGCAGCGTAAGCAGAGTTATCAGAAACTGCTGGTGAGATTAGACCAGAAAATTGAGGGATTTGCATGCTGGTCTGTAATACACTGATGACGTATGGACCGAGACTTCTTCTAAATGAAATGGAAACCAAAATAGGCCAATGAATTAGTCATATGCTAACTACAATCATTCCTAATCGTTCATGTTTCTGTTTCTGCAGAATGTATGAATGCAAAAGCAACTCATGAGGCGCACTGTGAATTGCACCACCAGCACACCAAACTCCTAGCTCCCCAGTAGCTATTTTCTCATTGTCTAAGCATTGTCCTGCAACAAATTTCTAACAGCAGGGCTATAATCTTCACCAAGGACATACATTAGGGCTGTAAAGATGTCATTAAAGCAGTGCTGCTCCAGGGGGGATGAAACAATCTCCAGAATGGTTTCAGACTGTACTAAGGGGCTGGAGTAAACCTTGAAAGGTAGGCAGTTAAAGATCCCAGCATTTCAGTGCTTTGAGCCCCACG